TAACACTGTTTACATAAATTAAAAATCATATAGCTGAAACAATACACACTTTGCAAGAATATGTATAACAAAAATACACATTAACATATTAGAAAGGTTGCTTTGGGGAACTGTCTTACTTATCTAGTTTTGCTCTAACAGAAATATGACAAAATATAACAAACAGAAATTTATTCTCTCACAGTTTAAGAGGCTAGAAATTCAAACTCCAAATTCAGAGTACCGGCTCTAATGGAAGGCGAAAATGTCTCTCTTTGTCGGCTCTGAGGAAAGGTCCTTGTTTCCCTTCAGCATCCGTAGGCCCACCATTCCTTGGAGCTCTCCATGTGTGTTGGCATCAGTCTTCCCCTGGATCTACGCGAGCTTCACAGCCCAGGGATCCCAGTTTCAAAGGACACATTCCACTCCTGGCTCTTCTTTCTTGGTGGTAGTAGGTCCCGCATTCTCTTCTCACTTCACTCTCCTTTTATCTTTGTAAAATAAAAGGCCACACCCCTGGAAAACTCCTTATGTCAGACCAGGGTTGTAATGGAAATAAGGGTGTTACAACCCACCCTTGGTATGACACTGTGGGTTAATGTGCTGGACCACAAAGTCATCTGAACCATGTTCAAGCCCACCAGCTGCTCCTACGAAACCCTATACAGGATCGCTATGGGTTGGAACCGACTTGATAGCACTTACCAACAACAACAAGCAGCTCTGGTAGTGTAGTGGTTACGAATCGGGCTGCGAACTGCAAGGTCAGCAGTTCAAAACTACCAGCTGTTCCGTGGGAGAATGCTGAGGCTTTCTGCTCCCGTAAAGATTTACAGCCTCGGAAACCCTGTACAGGGTCGCTATGAGTCGGAACCAACTCCATGGCACATAACAACAACAACAACAACCAACAACAACATACCCACCTTTAATCCTTTCGTTGGTTTATCATATCAGATCACATAATGGGGAATCATCACATAACTGTTATATTACAACATTAAATAACTACTTTGTCATTGCTAAGTGCCGTCGAGTCAGTTCCGACTAAGCAACCCTGTATAGGATTCACAAGAAGCAGCTGTTGAGTATGAACTGATGACCTTTCGGTCCAGAGTTTATCCTACAGTGCCATACCAGGACTCCATAACTGCTAACTACGAATCATGATTCAGCCAAGCTGACACACATTTGGGGGGAGGTAGGGGAAGGGGAGGAACAATTCAGAGGATAATATGGGGTATAGGGATAAAAAGTTAATAGAAAAAAAAGTTAAATATTAGAGGATTTATATTACCTGATTTCAAGACATTATAAAGCAATAATAATCAAGACAGCATGGTACTGGCATCAAGACAGACAAACAGATCAATGGAACAGAATAGAGAACCCAGAAATAAACTCACATATCAAGTCAGTTGATTTTACAAAGGTACAAAGGCAATTCAGTGGAGAATGGAACAACTGGATATTACCTGCAAAAAGTGAATTTGGGTCCTTAACTCTGAGCATAAAAAAAAATTTAATTAACTCATAATGGATCATTCACCTAAATGCAAAACCGAAAACCATAAAACTTACAGAAGAAAATATAGCAGAAATGAGAGCTTGGGTTAGGAGAAAATTGTTAGCAACAACACAAAATAGTAACCCAGAGAAGAATCATTTGGTAAATTGAATTTCATCAAAATTAATAACTTTTGCTCTTTGAAAAACACTATAAGACAATGTCAAAAATAGTTGTAAATCATATGCCTGATAAAGGTCTTGTATCTAGAATAAAGTACTCCCAAACTCAATGAGAAAACAGTTTTTTGTTGTTACTGCTGTTTTAATGAGCAGGAAACTTGAACAGGCAATTCACCAAAAATTTACCAATGGCAAATAAACACATGATAAGCTATTCAACATCATTAGTCACCAAGAAAATTCAAATTATTCAAAGAGCATAAGTTAAGCGTGAGATCCTACCTAGAAAAGTAAAGTCAGCAGAGACAGTAGAAAAGACGGTGGCATGGAGAGACAGAGCAGCTGCAGGCTCTAGGCCCAGGGACTGAGTAAGGATGTATACCTGCAGGCAGGAGGCTGGCTTGCAGAATATGCCTTTAGGACATTTCAATGAATATATATATATATATATATATATTTTTTTTTTTGTATGTGTACATGCATAGAGTATGTATGGAGTCCTGGTGTGGTGCTGCAGGATAATGCACTAGTCCTCAAGGTTGGTTTGCACCTCAAGGTCAGTGGCTCAAAACCACCAGCCGCTCCTTGGAGACTCTATACAGAGTGGCTATGAATTGGAATCAACTCAATGGCACTTAACAACAACAACATATGTGTATCAAATATTTTTGCTTTGTTCATTTGTGAAATATAAGATGTAAAAGGGAAGCCACAGGGAGGAAGTAGGATAACTGCTGTTGTAGAGAGGGGATTGTAATCACTGAGATGAAACAAAGTATGTTGTTGTTGTTGTTGAGTGCCGTCGAGTCGGTGCTGACCCATAGCGACCCTGTACCGGGTTTCCGAGGCTGTAAATCCTTACGGGAGCAGAAAGCCTCATCTTTCTCCCGCGGAGCAGCTGGTAGTTTCGAACTGCTGACCTTGCGGTTCGCAGCCCAATTGGTAACTACTATGCTACCAGAGCTACCAATATATAATTTGTTAAATGTGAAGCTGATGATTTTGTCTGTTAACCTTTAATCAATTCACAATTAAAAATTAAAAATAAAATAAAATGAATAGTTAAGGTAAATAAATACTGTTAACTTATGGAAGGGATTGCAATCATTGTAATGAAGTAAAAGTATATGATTTGCTGAATGTAAAACTGATCTGCTCTGTAAACTTTCACTCAATTCTCAATAAAAAGTTAAATAAATAAAGTTAGATGAATAGATGCTTGCCTAGATAGATATATACATGCTAAAACAAGTATGTTGTTGTTGTTCAGCGCTGTTGAATAGGCTCTGGCTCATGGTGAAGCCTCACAGGGTTTCTGAGGCTGAAGATCTTTATGGGAACAGAAGCCTTATCTTTCTCCCGCAGAGCAGTTGGTGGGCTCAAACCTCCAACCTTGTGGATTTTTACAGTGCAGTGATAAATGTTAATGTCTAAGGTGGTAGGTAGAAGCCCTGCTGGTAGTATAGTGGGTTACAAGTTGGACAGCTAACCTCAAGGTAGGCAGTTTGAACCTACCAGGTGCTCTGTAGAAGGGTGAGGCTTTCTGCTTCTGTAAGGATTTGGAACTTTGGGAATCCTATGCAGGGTTGCTATGTGTCACAACCAACTCAATGCCACCCAATTGGTAACTGGTTGTTTAATATGACTCTCTTTCAACTTTCCTGTAATTCCAAAATTTTTCATAATGAAAAATTGGAAAGTGGAAAAAAAAAAAAGATGAAAACCATTCTGGTGTTGTCTGAGTTTCAGGATCATCAGGGGATCAACAGCAGGTCCTGAACCTAAGCTCCCATCTTCAGCCCCAAGGTCCAATGGGTAGCAATAAAGCAGAGGTGTTGAACTGGGAGAAGAAAAAAACCCCACTACACATTAATTGTTGCTGTTGTTAAGTGCTGTTAGTTGGTTCCAACCCATAGTGACCCTGTACAGGGTTTCCAAGGAGCAGCTGGTGCATTTGAGGTGCTTATCCTACAGTGCCACACCAGGACTCCTTCACATACTAATTAGAATGGCTAAAGGCCCAGACCATACCAAGTGTTGATGCAGATGTGGAGGAATTAGAGCTCTCATATGCTGCTGCTGACAACATAAAATGATAGGAGCACTTTGGAAAATAGTTTGTCAGTTTCCTAAAAAGTTATAAACATATCTAACCTTCAGACCTAGTCATAATCTCTCTCTCCTCGGCATTTAGCCAAGAGACTTAGACACAAAGACTTCAACACAAATAGTCATAGCACCTTGATTATAATAGACCCAAATTGGAAACAATCCAAATGTCCAATAGATGAATGCATAAACAAACTGTGGCATTTCCATACCATAAAGTACTATAAAAATCGTTTTTAATTAAAAAAAAAAAAAAAGAACTATTGATCATGCTTGGCTCCCATAATGGTGCAAATGTACTTGGCTACAGATTTTTGGAATCCACCCATCTGTGACCTAGCTCTCTACCTCTGTAAGACTGTTGTTGTTATGTGCCATTGAATCAGTTCGAGCTCATAGCGACCTTGGATAGGGTTTCCGAGGCTGTCAATCTTTATGGGAGCAGCAAGATTAATTTTTCTCCTGAGGTAGGGCCTGGTGGAGCCAAACCGTTGACTGTGCAGTTAACAGCCCGGCTTATACCTATGACACGAGGGTTCGTGTCTGTAAGATTGTTGTTGTTGTTGTTAAGTGCTGTCAGTTGGTTCCTACTCATAGCGACCCTGTTGATGAGATTGAACCTCCGACCTTGAGGTTCAAATCGACTTTGCAGTTCAAACTGCTCCTGCAGTGCAGCGCATTAACCTACAGCGCCACAACCCCATTGAAACCCCTATGAACACAGTGCTACTCTGACACATAAGGGGTTCCCACGAGTTAATAATAGGGTATTGATAACAGGTGTGGGCAGGAGGTAACGTTTAGGGGTGATGGGCTGTTCATAATTTGTGGTGATGGCTTGACTGGCGTATAAAGTATACAGTGTGCAGTTTATTGTATCTCAATTGTACCTCAGAATGCTTTTGAAAAAGACAAAGTGAGGTCACTTTGTGTCTAGGTACACACAGCTGCTAAATGACCCTGAAGTCTGCCTTGGGAGCCTGGTACTCACTGGAACGATCGCGCCGAGACAGTGCTGAGCGGAAAGGAAAATGCTGGAAAGGAGCGCGCCTCGACGTTAATCATTACCGGGGTCGGCGCACCGGGAGCCGGCGGAAAGCCCGTCCGCAGACTCCTCCCCGGCCGGGGCGGGCCTGGGGGCGGCCCGAGTGATCTCCGCCGGACCGCGGCTCTCGCCTGTTGTCCCGCCACCTGCTGCTCGCCGGGTCGCGCCGCGCTCCGACATGGTGAGGGAAGGCCGGGCGCGCGACAGGAGGGGGCCTCAGGGCGCCTGCCGACCCGCGCGCGGCGCTCGGGGCTGGGAGGCTAGGCGCTTCCGGCTCTCGGATGGGCAGCCAGGAGGTCACGCCCTCTCCCGGTGGGGCTCGAGGGGAAGCGGAGGCTCCAGCAGGGCGGGGCGGGGGCCAGGTAGCCGTGAACGGACGCCCGGGGCCCCGACCCCCAGGCCCACGCTCTTTCCGCGCTGCTGTGCGGGGGCGGGGCGTCCCAGCCGCCCTCGGAAGTCCATGCCTGGGGCTCAGTTAGTGCCCGTGTGGGATGGGGGCGGGGGAGGCTGCATTTGTTTTCTCCCTTTGCAGGCGTAGGGTCGGCCTCCTCTCGGTTGCACTTCTGACCTCACCTGGGAACAGCTTTGGTCTGGGACTCAGCCCTCTGTGCACCTGAGAAGCGGCTCCTGCAGCAGGACCAGCCAATCCTGGCTGAGCTGCCGCCAAGAGGGTCTGGGTCCTTGACTCCAAGTCAGCACCCTTCCCTCAGCCAGGGAGGTGGCCTTGAGCCCCTGGAGGCAGCAAGGAAACGTTACTAAACATAGCCCCAAATACTAGGGACAATCAGGGCTGCTGCGGTGACAATTGGGGAGGCCTTTCGAAGTTTAGGTGTAGGGAAGAACGATGGAGATGGTGAGTGAGGCTGATTGTGAGGTGCCACACTGGGGGTGAGTAATCAGTAACCCTCCGTGAGATACCTCCTGAGACAAGAGGCAGAGTCCAAGCCTGACCGTAATTGAATAAACGTGGCCTCTGCCCACTCCCTGATCCCACAGGCTGTGGGTGTTGGGGTTCCAGATGACTCTAAAGAGAAAGGATGGCCTCCCTAGGGCTCTCCAGTGCCCACCCATGTCTCAGAGCCAAAGGCGTGAACAGTGGGTTTGGATGCGTGGGCTGACTTCCGCCCATCTGGTTGCCTGGATACATGGACCAGGCTTATTAGCACTGATAAGGGCAAGCTCTAGACTAGAGATGGGGTTGGGCGGATGCTGCCGAGTAAACACTGCCATTGAGAGGAGGAGAGAACGTTCGTTTTCAGGAGAAGAGAAAATACTGATTTCTTGGAGCATGGCAGTGGCCTCCAGGGCTACCCAGACCCTGCCAGGCCCATCGCCAGCCCACTTAACCAAGGAAGTCTACAGGGAGTAACCGGGCCGTTTATCACATTATCCCATTGAGTCCTCACACTGAGAAGTGGAAGTTTTTGTCCCTGTTTTCCTCATGACTCTAAGAGGTGAAATGCACATGGCTGATAAATGGCAGACCTGGGGCTTGAACCAATCCTGCCAATTCAACCCAGAGTTGCCAGCCTTCGGGTTACAGACTCTTAGCATGCCTCACACTTCTCCCAGAATTACCAGATTCATCTTTACCTTTGCACTTTATGCATTTCTGTCTTTGGGTAGTTTCTGTCTGTAGTGAGTTATGTCTAAGGCTGTAACTGAAAAGTTAGCAGTTCAAACCCACCAACTGATCCGAGGGAGAAAGATGAGTCTGCTTTGGAAACTCTACGGAGCAGTTCTACTCTGTCTTAAAAATTTGCTGAGTTTGAATGTACTGGATGACAGTGAGTTTTTAATCTCAGGGTTCTAAATTCTGGGATCCCTTAAACTCCTAAACCTGTACCATCCAAGACACTAAAACTGACCTTTGCTTCCTATATTCTCTGAGGATCCAATTCCTGGCCTGAAAGGTGCCAATTTGGGTTCCCTGAAGACATTTTGAATAATAGGTGCACAGGATGGGGCATTGCCTTTACGGGTGAAAGTGAACAAATACGCTTCTCAATAACTCATCCATACTTTGTTCAGTAACACTGGTTGCAACCCCCACAGGTTTCCCAGTCGCATTCATCTTTCTTTCCTCCCTTCCTGCCTTCTGAGCTTCATTTCTGGGCTGCTCTTTTGGTTTTGTATGGTTTATTGTTCTCTAAATTGGCTTCCTCCCTGGTAATACTGTTCACCTTAAAAGCCTACCATTTGACTGAAAGTTGAATCCGGGGTGTGTTACCATTGCCTTTGGCCAAGTTACTCCACTTCTGGGTCTGAGCTCTGTCTGAGCTTCGAACTTCAGGAACTGCCAGAACAAAACAGATGGTAGAAAAATCCAAGAAGCCAGGAGCAGGGGCTGCATGGTGAGAGTGACAATACCAGTGGTTGTTACCTGCAGTCTGCCCAGGCTTACTTGGGAAACTTGTCTGAAATGCTGATTTCTTTACCAGCCTCTAGGAATGCGGATTCAAAAAGTTTGGCTGGGGACCCAGGAACCTGCATATTTCTGTTGTAGATGGTCCACAGACCACCCCTAGAGTCACTGACCAGGGGTAGTGGTGGGAGGGAACAAAGAAGCCAGTTTCCCTCCCTAGGCCTTGGTGTTGTCAAGTACTGTGGAGTCGCTTCTGACTCATAACCACCCTGTGTAGGGTTTCCAAGGAGCGGCTGGTGATCCTGAACCTCCAACCTGTGGTTCAAACTGACCTCGTGGTCCAGTGCTTTAAACCACAGGGCCATACCAGGACTACTCTTAGGCCTTAGCATCCACTTCAGTACACCTGAAAATGAGTAGCGGCTGGGTCCAGAAAATAGGGAAGACTGGCATGTTGGGGCACTCTTCTTAAAATCATATTGTATTACATATATTTGTATCTGGGTTTGACTTTTTTTCTTTCTTAATAATTTAACCTTAGTTTGGGAGGGAGGAGGCTCTCAATAGGATTTTGGGGACGGGCCGTGGGGGGCAGAGGAATGTTTCTCAATCAAATGGTTTCCCTGTGATTAGCGTTATACTCAGATTTACTTTCTCTGGGTGGAATGGAAAACCCAAAACCTAAGAGCCTATCAGTGAATGAGTAAGGGCCCCACCTCCTGGGCAGAGCCCATCCTCCAGGCAGACCAGCTGCCCTTTGACCATGTCACCTAGTGTCCAGAGCAGCCAGTGGAAGTCTTGCTTGACCTGTAAAAATAAATGACCTTGGGCCTCTCTGTTTTTTTTGTTCTCGCAGGCCGGCAAGGCACATAGGCTGAGTGCCGAGGAGAGGGACCAACTGTTGCCAAACCTGAGGGCTGTGGGGTGGAATGAGCTGGAAGGCCGAGATGCCATCTTCAAGCAATTCCATTTCAAAGACTTCAACAGGGTATGGGTCTAGGTGGGACAGTGTGTTCATGTGTGTGTGTGTGTGTGTGTGTGTGTGTGTGTGTATGAAATTTTTTATTATGAATTGAGTGAAGGTTTACACAGCAGATCATCAGTTTTACATTGAACAAATCGTACACTTTGTTTCATCTTAATGATTGTTGTAATCCCCTCCATGTAACAACAGTTATCCCGCTTCTTCCCTGTGCTTCTCATTTCCATTCTGCTCTCCTTCCCATTCCTTCTCAACTTTGTCCTTAGGTAAAGTTGCCCTATTGATCTTGAGGGGTTGACCACTCCATGAGCACACCTTATTAGTGTTGTTGTCCCCCCTACTCTACTGATTGGCTGAAAATTGGGCCACAAGGCTGAGTTCTGTTCCAGACCTGAAGGTTCATGGGAGGACAGTTTGGAGAGAGGGTACTCTGGCAGCACGACTCATCTGGGCACTGTACCATTGGGGAAATGGACTTCCCTAACTCTGGTAGCATACTGGTTACGAATTGGGCTGCTAACCTTAGGGCCAGCAGTTCGAAACTACCAGCTGTTCTGCTGGAGAAAGATGAGGCTTTCTGTTCCTGTAAAGATTTACAGTCTCAGAAACCCTGTACAGGGTCGCCATGAGTCGGAACTGACTCCACGACACATAACCACCACCAACTTACTTGAAAAGTGTCAACATTGGGGCTTGGGGAGATGCGCCTTAGACTTTGCATACCTGGAATGCTTAAGGGAAGAGTCTCAGAGTCTAGGTTCCTGCCTGGTGGCAAGGATGTCGACTTGAGGACATGGTACTAGATGGCCCAAGATTTACCAAGAGTCAAGCTCTTCTGGCATCTCCACCCTCAAGGCTCAGAGGATGGCAAGCATCCTGTCGCTACACCAAAGCCTTGAACTGTTCTGATCTCTTAGAATGCTAACCTAGGTCTCTCTTCACTTGATAGGCTTTCGGGTTCATGACAAGGGTGGCCCTGCAGGCTGAAAAATTGGACCACCATCCTGAATGGTTTAATGTGTACAACAAGGTGAGTGACATCCAAGTTTGGAGAATTCCAACTCCTCACTCCCTCATCCTGCTCCAACCATCTTCCTGGTCTCAACATTGCAATCTTGACACCCTGAGAAACATTCAGTCTCACTGCCAATGGAACAAATGCAAATATAAAACACTTGTGAGTTACTTGTGGCTGAAGTAGACGTTAAGAAGGCAAAACTTAAGTAGACGTTAAGGGAGGCCGTGGAAGACATACTCAACTCATTAATCACCCTAAACAGTCCGTCTTTGGAAGTATATGGAAGAATGGAAAGGTAATACACTTTAAGAAAAGCCATGCACAGCATTCAGGGCAGACTGTCCACTTAATCAAGCCATCCTTCAGTGCCTCCCAGGTGCTGAGAACTATGCTGGACTCTGTGTACAAACATTAAGGCTTGGAAGAGGAGGTCTGTAAATTGATAGTGTTTAGGGGTCGTTGTTGGCTTTTGGTCTTATTTTAGCTTTGATGTTGCTCTTGAAAAACATCCAGAGAGAGATGGCTTCCAGTAGTTTTGCAGCGTGGTTACAAACCTGTCAACCAGCTCTCAGGAAGGCAGCCCACGGGAGGGAGGGACCAGCGACCCAGTCTTCTGGAAGAATCAGTGTGGCTGAGCCTGGCAGTTGCTGATGCTCGCCTGCTCTCAGTGACTCCGATCAGTAAAGTTGCTTGACCCTGAATCTCTGGTTTTGTTTCAGGTCCACATCACCCTGAGCACCCACGAGTGTGCAGGCCTTTCGGAGCGGGACATAAACCTAGCCAGCTTCATTGAACAAGTAGCAGTAGCCATGACGTAATTCCTCAGGGGTTGGCTGAATTGGGAATCCAGGGAGGGAATTGGGGAGTCCTGGATCCTGCTGAGTCATCATTGCCAAGTCTACTTGGGGGGGGGGGGGCGGGGGTCCTTGCTGTGCAAAGGAGAGAATCCCCCTTCACTGACTGAGTTCCCCTCCACCCGCTCTTCATTCTTGGGGTCCTGTTAGTACACTGCTAGTTTGATTAAGCTCTTCTCTTTCCCAAGAAGCTGTGATAGGGGAGGACATAAAGTCTTATCAAAGGAACCAGGACCCTAAAGTAGACCCCACTGTAAGTGACTCCCATCAGTTGCTCTTACGTCTCAAATAAAACTCTAGCGTCACTCACTTGGTCTCAGGCCTTCTGGAACCTTCTTTTCTACAATCCAATTGGAAGCAATGGACCAGGCATTTAAAACACTTACTCTGTGCAAGGCATTGTTCAAGGAAGAAGGGTGGACCAGACCAGACCACCCTGCCTTTCAACGAGTTCGTGAAATCAAGCAGGAAAGATGGATTACGTGAACATTAGATGTCAGGATAAGAAACACACTGTGAGAACGCAAAGTAGTAATTCATGTCAACAAGAGTGAATGAGGAGACTTTGGTTGATGCCTTGAAGACATGAGTAGGGTTCTTGAGAATGTCGTGCACAGGATAAAGGCACACACAGGCTCCATATGGCGAGTGTAAGTGTGGGCAGGCTGGGGGTCATCTTATCTCCTGTGTAAACCACCAGCCGGGGGAGGGGACAGGACCTAATCATGATGGTTTCTGTAGTTTCTACTTCGGACAGCTTCCCAGGTTCGTTGCTTTGATGCTGTAGGAGCTTGACGGCCTAGGCCCAGCTTGGGCTCCCACAGGCTACTTGCCATCAGAGCAGTAAGGCCCAGTCCAGCTGACACTCCATTATTGTTGAAATCAAGTCGATTTTGACTCAGCGACTTCCTGTGACACAGGGTTTTCTGAGCTGTAATGTTTCTGGACGCAGATCACCACATATTTCTCCTATGGTTTCTGGGTGGGTTCAAACTGCCAACCTTCAGTTAGCAGCTGAGTGCTTAACCTTTTAGTACCACCAGGACTCCTGGGTAACAGTATGGACAGACTAGTTCCACTGATGAGCCATGCCAGGGATAAGGGGTGCTCAGATATCGATTCCCTTAGCCCTGGTACAGCTGCTGTAAGCTGGGAGCACTCTTATCTCTAGCCCAGGGCATGTGACAATGAGATGGCCACTAGGCTTACAATTTTTTTTTTTTTTTAAATAATATCAATAGCCATTTACCTGCAAAGCTTAACATTACAATCAACAAGTGGTCTCTCATCTGCTACTCAGTGTGCTGAGGACTGGGGACCGAGGATGCTAAACAGGGAGGTTTGGACTCACCTTCCTGCCTCTGTTACAGACCAAGGGTTGAAACATGCATTGTTAGGCTACCTATGACTGGGACAAAAACACAGGCAACATTTTTTTTTAGAAATAAATATGTTTATTCTAAAATTAATCCACATAACTGACATTACAGGGAGGCTGTTAAGGAAGGATTATGAAGACGAAGAGAACAGAAAGGCAGGCAATTAAATTAGGAATCCAAATCAAGAAAAGGCTCTCAGAAATCTGCTTATTGAGGCAATAGCTGGTGGGTACCATATGGGGTCTCAGTTATTACTTCTGTCACAGCTGGGTCTGGGGAAAAGCTGCTCACTGTTCGTAGGAGTTCACAGAGAAGGCCGAGGGTCTGGCCACTGTGAGGAGCAGCCACAGGCATCCCAGACAGTCCTTCTTAGGTAAGCCAGGCCTCCGAATGAAAAACAGTTTCCACCCCAGATGGTGGCCTTGGGTTCCTGAGTGCCTTCTGAAAACACTTCTCCTCATCCATAACGTACCAACGGCCACCTGAGGGGTTCTGTCAGCTCCCAAAACAAATGCAGAGCCACCCTGCCCAGCTGACTGGAGACCAACCAGAAGCTCAATCCATCACGAAGGTGAGCCGAAAGTGGGCAATTTAGGTGACAGAAAACATAAGGTGGGGTCATGGTCCTGATGAACTAAAGACCTGAGTTTCAAACCCATCTATATCCAGTATAACTGCAGCTGGAATACAGACCAGTGTTAGAGAGCGGAGAAGTTAGCCAGAATGTGGCTCAGCTGGGTCTGCCTGTTGTTGTTAAGTGCCATCAGATCGGTTCTGACTCAGCGACCTTGTATAGGGTTTATAAGAGCGGCTAGTAAGTTTGAACCGCTGACCTTAATAGGAGTCCAGTGCTGATCCTACAGCACCACACCAAAGCCCTAATCTCACCGGTCGCACACAACCATTTCACCACAAGGGGGCAATCTCTCACTAGTAGCCAATTCCAGCACAGGCACCACCCCATTTGTGACCTCCTATGTGTGCCCAAGTAAGCCAATAAATGCAACCATCTACAGTGATTGAGATTTGGGGCGTTTAATCAGTCAACTGCTTTTAAGACATTATTGCTGCAACTAGGAAGGAAGTACTGAGAATGAAAGCAGGAGGTGAGAAGATGAGAGAGAAAACAAGTGAAAAGAGGCAAGTACCATTTTCCAAGTATAAAACCAGTATTACAAGTGGCATGGCAGTATAGTCACATGACTACATCTAAGACAGAAAGACAACCGTACAGTTTTTGTAGAGGCCAATGTGACACCTGCGAGGACCCTGTAAGACACTCTACCCGACCCTGGCCACAGACTAGGCATTACTACACATGTACACACACACACACACACAGAGATATAAATGAGAAACCTAAAACACTAAGTCAAGCTCAGGCTCTTGATCACAGATTAAAATGGCTGCAGTAGGTCTCAGCAACAACAGGTCCTTTGGAAACCTCCCCCAACCCCGGGTTCCGGCACAGAGGATGTGAGTGGCTCAGGGTCTGGTCCTGGAGAAACAGGTACCCTGCGAGCCACATGCTTCTCCATTTCAGCAGCTGGCAAAGGACAATGTTGTCTGCTGGGTGGTTCTGGTACCCTGGAACCCCCAGGGACAATTCATGTACTACTCCAACTGAGGACATTTTCAGAAAGAGGTGTCCACCACTCGGCACCTGGGATGAAATGTGTCACTGCCCTGTCCATTGGGCCCAGCCTCTCCCTGTGACACACACCCCCAACCACTCTAAAACCCCACAATGCACTGTAGAACAAATAGGAACACACCCCCACCCGCAATGAGACAGCCAGCTAGTCACATTGTGTAGGAAGTACAGTGCTAAAGAACACTCTAGACAAACAGGCTAGGAGCTGGAGGTCCGCAGCCCAGTAAGGGAGGCTAGAGGACAGTATCTGTAGAGGCTGAATATTCAGGAGTCCCTGAGAAGGGGACAGAGGAACGCTGGTCCTGACTTGTCCTAAGAACTTCCCTACCCAAATAAAAACCTCAAAACCAGACTAATTTCTCCAGGGGCCTGGTCAAGAACAGCTCACTGCTGAAAAGAAAGGCACACTAAGCGACATCGTCAGAGGAGAGTGAGTGACTCAACCCATACGGTGAGGAGAAGGTGGGGAGCCAGCAGTGAAGAAGGGGCAGGGAGTGGGTGCAGGGTTCACTCTTGTCCCTGCACTACCCTGAGCAACAAGTGTAAGGAAGGGATTCCAGGCCCAAGGCCACAACGGATGGTTTCTAAGTCCAGAAAGTTTCCCTCATCTTAAGCTGCCCTCTGTTAGCAGGCAGGGCTGAGAAGTGCCCAGTCCCTGGGGCTAAACTGTCATAGTACCTCTGGGAGCTGAATAAAGGGGAAAGAGTCAGGAGAAACATTATGGGAAAGAGAAAACGTTCCTTGTCACGAAGGTTCTCTCACCCTCTTCACGCCCACCTAGGTTAAGTGAAGGCAACTAGTGAAGGTGCTTCAGAAAACACAACTGAAGGACTCTCATAATTGAGACAGCTTAAAGCAATGGAAAGGGGTACCCACAACTTGGGTGACATGTACTTGAACTTGGGTGCTCATCTGACTCTGATAACTCAGAAAAATGTAGAAAAGTATCTGGTTTCTGATCATTCCCACCGCCCGCAAGAGTCAGGTCTACTTTGACAACTGTTAACTCAGGGAGGCGGCACCAGGTCCAGAAAGTCCCAGAGTCCCTGGGAACCATGGGAGCAAGAACAACGCAATGGGAGTATTATTTCAAACAAGAACCTCAGTGGTGGCAACCAGGTGTCAGATGGGGATTGCAAGAACAGAAGAGGACCAAGAGGTCTCCCCCCTGCAAGTCCCAGCAGACATGATCAACCAGTCCTATGGAGTGGGGAAACAATGGCCTGGTCAGTCTTGTCTTGGAAAAAGAAGACCTGTGGCAATTAAAGTGTCTCAAAGATAGACAGCTAACCTACTTCTAAGAGAAGGTTGGAAAGAGCCCTCTGCTTCAAGTACACACAAAATCCATCAGGGGAAATAAGTTACACAAATGTGTCCTATCTCAGTAGCCAAACAGCTGCCTGAGACAGCAGAGAAGCCCTTTTGTTATAATTGTGCCCCAACTTCCCTAAAGAAGCAGGACAGGTCAGAGCTGCTAAAATGATTAAGGTGAAAGCCAGAGAGATTAGAGAAGGAAATCGTTAAAACAATTCCCGGGACAATCGTTTAAAACAAGAGCAAAATCATTATGTGCTGAACTCCTTCAGGGGTCTTCAACTGAAAAACTATGAAAGGATGCTAACAGGTAGAACAGTGCTGAGGACCAAGCTGTCTTGTAATCTGTCTCGTTGTGCTCTCCAGAGTGAGACCAGATATCAAAGTTGTGTGTGGTCTTTTCCATCCCTAAGAACCTTCTGAAGGCCAGAAGCCCCCGAGGGCTAGGAGTCCAGGCTCAGCGTGGTTTGGGAGAGCCATTCATCTGGCTGCCTGAGGTCACATTGTCTGTGCTGTATAGGCTGTTCAAGAAGACCGAGGACAACTCTGCCACCATACTCCTGTCAACCGTTGTTTGGGCCATGCCGTAGATGGCACCCTACAAATCCAACCAAGGGTACACTGTTAGTGAGGTTCAGGAAAAAGAATAGAGGTGTAGTTTTTGTCCCCCTCCGTGCTAATCCTAGTTTTTCACAAGTCTCCCTGCGCCGCCCCCCCCCCCCCATATAAACCCCTGACCATCCCAGTCAGCAATCTATTGGGAAGACAGCTGGCATATGGAATTTCTCACTGGCAGTGGCCTTTCAGCCCTAAGGAAATATCCTATGGAATTTGCTGCAGAAAATTCCAGAGAAAACATGTTTATTGGCCTTTTTGTGTCAAAATTTTCTTTCCTGGACAAAACCACTGCCTGCTTTTATAGCGTTTTCTAGTGTACAAGCTGCTTTATATAGAGAGTACCTCATTTGGGACTCTCCACCACCTGGGAAAGGGGAGGCAGTGATCATCAACTCAACAAACAAAAAAAGGCAAGAGGTCTATGGACACGGGACAAAGGCAGGGACAGATGCAAGGCCACTTCATTTCTCTCAAGTACCCCACCAACACCTCAGTTTCCAAAGAAAGTAATAAAACGCATGTGCCTACCATTCCTGTAGTCTTTGCTTTAGGATTCTTCATGATTTGGGTGACAGATTCCCTGATATCCTTTAGGAGTTGTATGGCTACTCGATTCCGGGTATGTAGTAATGTGATGCAGAAATGAATACTATGGGGGAAGGAAAGGCAGAAAGAGAGCGATGAACCTTGGGAAAAGAGAAAATGTTCTAAAATGGAGCATCCCAAATCCAGGATGAGGTCACATCCAAATAATGTGATGGCACCTTTCCATCCTTTCTGACCAGTGTCATTAGTTCTGACCTCATCCTGAGACCCAGGGTAGCCAGTGCCTGGGATGTCACCAGGGCTGCATGTTCAATCCTCCCTCAACCACAGAACTACTGATATGACTCTCAGATCTTAGATAAGCCTTCCTGGGGGCAGGGCTAGAGGGCTGGTCTCTGGAAGAACTTTAGAGGAAAGAAGAAATCAATTCAGTCTGGAGGGAGGAAGGAAGGAATGGCAGTGATGCCACACATGAATGGATATGATGAGCACAGGACATGGGTGAGATGAGTGGATTCTTTATTTAAAGGCTAATTTAGAAAAGCTTTCAAGAGAAGATACTAGCAGGCTGTGTGTGAATGATTACAGATTGAAGAGTTTTGAGCTAAATTGTTTGTGACTTGGGCAGCAGAGAATTTTGTAAGAGCAATTGACGGCTGGTATAGATGGAGCTCTGGTAGCGTAGTGGTTACGAATCGGGCTGCGAACCTTAAGGTCAGCGGTTCGAAACTACCAGCCGCTCCGCGGGAGAAAGATGAGGCTTTCTACTCCCGTAAAGATTTACACCCTCGGAAGCCCTATACAGGGTCGCTATGGGTCGGAACCGACTCGATGGCACATAACAACAACAACATAGATGGATTGTAGGACACTGGGCTAACGAGAGTGGAGGAACCTCATGATCCACCACTGGCCTCAGGAGGCTGCATCTCAGCTCACTGAGGCACTCAAAGAATTCAAAGATGTTGTTGTTGTTGTTAAGTGATGTTCAGTCAGTTCCGACTCACAATAACCCTGCATAGGATTTCCAAGGAGTGGCTGGTGAGTTTGAATCACCAACCTTGTGGTTCAGTGCTAATGCTACAGCGCCACACCAAGACTTAACCTCTGGTCTCAGGAGGCTGCATCTAAGCTCACTTAGGCACTCAAAGAATGCAAAGATAATAAAATGATCAACGCTTATTTGTAAAGATATAAAGGCCTCACTTAGTCCTGATATCTGGGCAAAGCCAGGTGGCCCCTCAAGTGATAGGCTCTAGTCATTCATCAGGTTCTTTGAACGTTGTAGAGCAGAGGGGAGGGAAGAGGCTTCTCCAAGCTTACCTGGGGGGGAACTGCAGCTGGTTCAAGTTCCACCCCTTAGCAGTCATCAGGTTTGACAGTCGGTAGATGTCAAAATCGTGGGAGCCCAGAGCAATGACTGATACTTGAGGATTTCCAAAAACAAAAATGCCTTTGATATTTTCCAGTCTTAAGGAAAGGGAAGAATAAAAGGAAACCCCATCAAATGCTTTTCCCCTGGTCACCATCTCTTTCATCACCCAATGTCTCAGTAACACCATGCAGCCTTTTGGACCTTTGTTTTTCTCAGGCTGGGATCAAGGCTTCCTAAAGGGGGAGGATGTGTCAGGTGGAATATTAAAGATATTTAAAAGTCCAAGCCTCACACAGATCTAATGAGTCAGAGTCATTAACTCTAACCTGCCTGCCCCTGTCATCCCATGACATCTGAGTCATGAATGATGTACTTAAGCAGTTCTGGAAAAAAGCATCCATCCATCTCTACAGTTTTGAAAAGCCATCTGTGTAATCTCTAAAGCATGAAATGGTCCAGCAATCCTCATTAGATGGGCACGTAGGAACTACATGAGGATCATTTTCAAATTTTACACGGCTACTGACCCTTTTCCTTCACCCTCAAAATGTTTGTAAAAAGTCTCCCAAACCCCAGTTACACACAAGAGTCCATTAGACAACGTGTGCAGAGGTTCTAGCCTGCACTTAATCTCAGGTTGCATCACTGCCCCTCCCCCATTCCTTCCACTCCTCTTTCCCAGATTCTTGTTTTTTCATCCCAACCATTCTCCAAGGGTGATTCTTAAAGACAGCAGCATCAGTCTCTCCTGCAAGGTTGTGAGAAATCCAAATCCTCAGACCCCACCCGATACAAGGAATCAGAAACTCTAGGGGTGGGGCCAGCCACGAGTTTCAACAATCCCTCCCAGTGACTTCTATACATGGCTAAGTTTGAGAACCTCTGTCTTAACCATTAAAGTGTACATCAGCACTTGGGAAGAGCTGCCAGTTGGTAAGACATCTTCAGAGAAGAGGCAGCCTGAAAAAGCAGCCCTAACTGCAGTGTCTTCTGAAGACCCTTCACAGCAGAGGCAGGGAGCTTACCCACACTCCCAACAGGCTGCCCTAAAGACTTACTCTCAAGGGATGGTACTTGGGCAAGGGCTAAGGGTGCTTGAGCCTGTTAGAAACAAAAAAAGAGCAAGCAACAAGGCAGAATCCCAAGAGCCCACACGTACTCGGATTTGAGGAATCGAGTAGTTTTGATGATCTGTTTGGTGGCTTCAACATAGCCGCTCTCACCGAAGTGCATCAAGGTGGCCCAGCAGGCTGCACTAATGCCACCAGGCCGTGAGCCTGCAATAGTGGGGGAAGCATAGATGCCACCCTGCCAGTCTGTAGCAATGAAGAACTGGTAGCTCCTGTACTTCTTGTCACGGTACAACACGACCGAGGAACCTTTGGGGGCGTAGCCATACTGCGTGGGAAGAAGCAGACAGGTGAGAGTGCAGTTCTACAGGCAGACAACACAGCTCCCGTGTCAGTGCCTCCATTGGCTGTTTCCCACTCACTCTAAGAATTCAAACTTAATGCTGTTAAAGGTGGAAAAGACTTAAGGGCTGGTTTGAGTTTTCTCTTTTAAGAGTGAGGAATCTTGGCCCTGAGAAGCATAGTGCCACATCTAGTTAGCGGGTTTACTATGTCACCTAGCTTGTGGCTTTCCTTATTTAAAACATTTTTCAGGATGGTACGTCAGGATGAAAACAAGGATAAACTCACTCCAACTGGAAGTCAGGAAAGTATGGGCTTAAATCTTGGTGGAACCAAAATCATAATCGTCATACCTGTTACCTTTAAGTAGGTTCCAACTCAGAGGGACCCCATAAGACATAGAGATTCCATAGGGTTTCCAAGGCTGTACCAGTCACAGAATCAGACTATCATATCTCTCTCCCACTGAGCTGCTGGTGGGTTCTAACTGCCAACCTTTCTGTTAACAGCTGAGCATTTAACCAAATACACCAGCAGGCTGCTTAATTAATAACATTGTTGTTGAATGATGTCGAGTCACTTCAAACTCAAAATGACCCTTTATAGGCTTTCCAAGGCTATAAATCTTTAGGGGAGCAGAAAGCCTCATCTTTCTCCTGAGGAGTGACTGGTGGGCCTGAACCAACAACCTTGTGGTTCACAGCCCAGTGCTTATACTGCAGAGCCACCACACTCCAAATTATTGCCATAGACCCATCCATTTTGCTTAGTGTTACATTTCCTTCATATCAAAAAGCAATTTTAATCCAGCTTTAAAATACAGTATGTGATTGGTTTCCTGACAAAAAACAACAACAACAACAACAAAAAACCATGCCCTCCTAATTAACTATCATGCTAACAAGAAACAAATTTCATCCCAGAATCACATAGAGATATAGGTGGTAAGAAGAAAGGCACAGGAGCTGGAAGGCAAAAATGCATCACAACTGAAAACCTGTCACTGATCACTTAACATTTCATGAACAGATCCTAGCTATGTTGCTGCATGCCATCGAATCGGTTCTAACAGTGATCCTGCATAGGGTTTCTGAGGCTGTAAATCTTTGGTTACTTGGCTGGTTGTGTGCCGTGGAGTTGGTTCCGACTCATAGTGACCCTGTATAGGACTTCTGAAGCTGCACATCTTTCTAGGAGCAGAAAGCCTCATCTTTCTTCTGCGGAATGGCTGGTAGTTTTGAACTACTGACCTTAAAGTTAGCAGCCTGACTTGTAACCACTATGCTACCAGAGCTCCTTGTAAATCTTGATAGGAGCAGAAAACCTCACCTTTCTCCTGAGGAACGATTGGTAGATTAGAATTGCTGACCAGTGCATAGCCACTACTCTACCAGAACTCCTTTTGGTTTAAACAAATTTGGAAAAGGCAACCAAAGCAAGGCACCTGTGCCATCTTCTTCCACATCCAGATTCTGTTTCATGAGTTCCTGTCTGACCCTACTCAGAGCACCAGGGTGGAGGCAAAGGCACTTTAAATATCAGAAGCCGAAAGCTCCTGAGCACACAGGCTCCGGTTCAGAGCCCCAGCATTAACATACACTTACAGGGAGTCCTCAGCCCTCTTCTCCCTTCCATCCAACATAATCCCAAGGCTCCAGGGAATCTTTTTACAAGGGCCACCACATGAGTCACAGAGTCAGTCAATATCCCAGCAACCAGTGTGAAGACAAAAGGCAATAGGTTTCTTTTCACTGTAGCTTGTCACCTCTACCTCCTGTTCTGGCCATCTGAATCAACTACCCTGGTGACAGCCAATGGCCAGACGGTTTAATTCTGTGTGCTGGGGGGAAGCGAATGCTTTAGACAGCTAATTTTGTTTCGTCAAAACAATCAACTGGCGACTTGGGGTGACATTTGGTCTCCTGCTTAGCTCACCTTGTGGGTGTCCGCTGAGATGCTGGTCACCCCCTTCACCCGGAAATCAAAAGGCTGCTCCAGCGGGTAGCCCGCCTTCTCCATGAACACGATGAGGAAGCCTCCCAGACAAGCATCTACATGAAGAGGTATTTTGTATTTGACAGCCAGCTAGTTCCAAAACACAAAGACCATAAGAAGATTTCATTGGTAGCATTACAAGAAAACTTTACAGGGCACAGGAGGACAACGGTGGGCTATCGTCAAACCAGGCTAGTTGGTACTATATGTCTGCTGTGTTTTGTTTTATTTTCATTTAAAAAAAAAAAAAAAGTGGCTGTTTTTTACACTCCCAATAAAGTTCACCTTCAAATGCATTGGTGCTTCAAAATAATTCATCCGAAATATATAGTATCTGCTTTACATTGAAATATGCATGGCCTCTAAGTCAGTGCAAAATCAAGTAGAAAGTGGATGGAGCTCTGATGAGCCACCTCCGGAGGGGAGGACCTCCTTCAGGGATGCAGTGGGAGGTGCTGTGGGATCCCTTGGAATATCACCCGCTGGTGGGAAGCTGCCCAGCATCTTCCTGATCTGAAGCAAACCGTCAATATTCTTTCAGATGTAATAAGGAGTTTAAACACAGGCCCTTTCTCCGTATTATTTCTCCCCAAGGTGACCTTCAGAGTAGAGCTGCAGGGCTTAACCACAAGCTGATGAATGCTATTCATCGCAACCATAGTCAAACCTAACATCAAAATTGGTCCTACTTGTCAAACACTGCACCACTGGATTCTATTTTAAAAATAGAGTAGCCCATGTCTCTCGTGTTACCTTGGCCACTTCCGGAACAGGATCTATCACTCCATGAGGAAATTGTGGGGTAGAGCAGACAAGCATGGCAGTGTTCCGGGAGATGGCTCTTTTCATGGCCTAGGGATTCAAAATTTAGAGGAAAATAAGAACCCACATCATCACTGTGATTTTTTCTGCTGCCAAGAGCAACTGGGGCTACTAGCTTAGCGCTCCACTCCCTTCACGGCTCCAACCTGGGAGAAGCCCACCACTGCAGCAGAATGGGTCCATTTGGGGGAATTGATCTGTGAGCACATTACAAAACAGCAAAATCACTATGCGGGTGAAAACAGGATTGGAAAAAGAGTCAAATGTAAGTCCCGGCCCACAGCCAACCAGCAGTGAAGCCATGAGTAAATTAGTTAACTTCACCTCAATACTACCAATAGTTTCAATGACCTGCCTGGACTGGCATTCTGATAGCACTCTGAAAACTAGAACGTTCTTCTACACAAATGTTGTCAAGTGCTTTCCAGTCAGTTTCGACTCATAGCAATCCTGTATGGGGTTACCCAGGAGCGGCTGGTGAGTTTGAACTGCTGACCTTGGGGTTCAAACCGACCTTGCAGTCCAGTGCATTATCTTGCAGCACCATACCAGGACTCCATACAAATACAAGGCATAAAACCAGTGACTGTTACAACAAAACAGCACAAATTCAGGCCAATCAAAATCACAGTGAGAATCGTGGGGCAAGTTAGTCTGTGCAGCCCAGGTTAGAGACGAGCTCATCTTCCTGTTAGAAGCCATGAAGCCATGAAAAGACGGAGGCTTCAATCCATCACACACACTGCCAGTGATCATGTTCGAGGTTCTGGCTCCCACAGCTGGCTCCAAATCAAAGGCTCAGGAAAAACCAGTCAGTCAGACACACTTCCTGCTTCTCACAGCCCAATGAGACGACACATCCTTGAGGGAACTCACCCGCACATCCACCTCCATCATTTTGTTCAGGGGAACCCGTATAATCTTCATCCCAAAATAATTGGCTGCTTTGTCAAACGCAGCATGGGCGCTCTGAGGGGCCACACTACACAGCAGGGAAGAGAACAAGGAAATTCAGACCAAAACAGGACTGAAAAGAGAACATTGTTAATAGCTGATCTGAATTTCCAGGAGTAAACTTCGGATTCCCAATAACCCCCAAATTTTATTTAAAGTGTTTATTATACTCTTTTTACTTTTCAAGCAGTAACAAAATATGGTCAACTGATTTCACAAAGAAACCTCTGCCAACTATTTGGGAAATAATTGTGGCAACGGGAAGGAAAACTCAGTAGCAAGCCCACATCAAAGGATTCCAAGGGTAAACTAAAGAAAACAGGTGAAAGTTAAGGACAGAGAACTTAGATCAGATTAGCGGAAGACGTAACTTTCAAATGCCCAGCTATGTAAAGACAAAGGCATTCATGGACAGCAAGCTTCCTAACATGACACATGTTCAAGGAGAAAGTTTAAGATTGATTGGCAGGGAGGTTAAAGCATCAAATCCAAGGTCCCTTCCAACTTTGAAGAACCATGATCCTCTGAGAATCTAAAAACCCCCGTTTCCCTAAATATTGAGAAGTAGTTTTTCAAATAGTATTAAAGGAAAGGACTGAGTCATTGTTAAGTTCTACTTTCAGATTTCTCTCAATTACTCCACTCTTATAATTAAGCTGTTCCCTTCAAGGGGTGGGGGTGGTTGTGGTTGTGTGTTGTGGAGTCAGTTCCAACTCATAGCGACCCTGTATAGGGTTTCCAAGGCTATAAATATTTATGGGAGCTGAAAGCCTCATGTTCTTCCCACAGAGCAACTGGTATATTTGAACTACTGACCTTGTGGTTAGCAGCCCAGCTTGTAATCTACTATGTTATCAGGACTCTTTCTTTAAGGAGTATAGATCTCTATTACTGAGCAAGGACCAAAAAGTTCTGTATGCAGAACGCTGGTAGCTGATTATTCCCTTAGAATCAGTAAGAATCTGAGCACTGGACCACATGCAATAGCCAGTGTGAGGTACACACTGACCCAACAACAGAGAGGGTTCGCAGAACAGATGCGACCAGTGATGTCCACAGGCTGGAGAGAAGGATCACTCTCAAAAAGATTTTCCCATTTTTCCTCCAAGAAGCCAGCCTTTAGGCTGAGATTCTCCTAGGGAGCACCCTGGGGCGGCCAATTTAAGCAACTTTGAGTGATGGAAGACAAGTAGAGCGTTCCTCAGACTCCTGATGATTTACAGCAAACAACACAGGATTCACAAATGTAGTACTCCGATTCTCTGTCACTTCTGGAAAAAGGAGCTCATTTATAGACTTGAGTTGGGGATGGGAATGACCTTGGGCATCTGTTGGATGGTCCATTTAGCACTGTGCTGAACGTGAAGGGATAAGAACTGAAGGAAAGGGCTGACTTTCAAGAGGAAGAGAAAAAGGAGGAAAAGAGAAGCTCAAGCTCAGCATCACATAGCACAAATCTAAAATGGGGGGGGGGAGTGGGGGGAGGGTGGTGGTGGTGGTAAATCAGCTCCATATACGCACATTTCTGGAGTTTTGATCCCTTTATCGAAGGCCAGGTCCCGATATGCTTTACAGGCCATCAATATGCTTTCTGTCCCACCGGAGGTTACCTGCAATAAAGAGGAGATGCCACCTGAGGCCAGGAGCTGGGAAGAGTGATCAGCATGCACTTCCCTCCAGGGCGGCTCCAAGATGGTGACACAGAAGCACAAATGGACTTGGAAGCACGCGGCACAGGGCATGTGCCGCAGGTGGAACGTACCAGAAACAACTAGCTTTGTGCCTAAGCTGAATCTTGGTTCAGGGAAAGGGTACAAATGATGAAGTAAGACCAACCAGAAACTCAACACTGTCTAGACAAATGCACACTTGCCCAGAACCCATCTGTGTACAATCATTTCCATATTAATCAGTCAATTTGCAGTCTACTCCATCCAAAAGCATCAGAATTGCTGGATTTAGTTTTAAATGTGCAAATCCTTTCAAGAATGTGAAATTATGGAGATACCCCACAATTCCAGTTAAACTCTGCAACACAATGGGGTATAGTGTGCGTTTGAACTGAGTTTTTAATTCTAGTAGAACTGACATTTCTGAATTCCATGGAAGTTGAAATAACTCACCCAACCTACCACTCTGAGACGATCTTTGACCCTTGAGCCTTGAGAAAAGGGATTTCCCAAAGTCACCCTGAAGCCAAACAATGCTTCCTAAAGTCACCTTGAAGTCAAGCACAGGACATTTTGCCTTGGGCCTCGTGCTCTTTTAAAAAGAATTATCTATGTGCGATTTTGGCAACAGAAATGCCAAAGGTCATGCTAGGTGCTACCTTTTAGTATAAATCAATAACGGTTCTGTAAGAATATAATGTAAGTTATTATGTAAACACTGTTCTGGACCTGTTTCCTTGGCAGCATATAATTTCTAGTGATAAATTGAAGTATAACAATGTATCAAAGGGAAACAACAATGCTAGTAAGGTCTGCTTACCAAGGATTGGTCAATCATTCCAGAGCAAAAGAGCAACATTTACCTAAGGACAAAGTTGAGAAGGATGGGAAGGACAGCTGTATGGAAATAGGAGCCACAGGGAGGAAGGGGGATAACTGTTGTTCCATGAAGGGGATTGCAATTGCTAAAATGAAACAAAGTGTATGATTTGTTGAATGTAAAATGGATAATCTGTCCTGTAAACCTTCACTCAATTCACAATAAAAAGTTTAAAAAAAAAAAAAAAAAAGGAATCTACCAAGGATTTCTCGTCTTTGGGACATTTTTGATTGTCTAGGCAAATCTGCTGCACAAGACCTTTTTACAGTGTTGAAGGACAAACATGTCAGCTTGAGGACTAAGGTGCACCTGACCCAAGCCATGGTATTTTCAATAACCTCATATGCATGCGAAAGCTGGACAGTGAATAAGGAAGACCATAGAAGAATTGATGCTTTTGAGTTATGGTGTTGGAGGAGAGTATTGAAAGTGCCATGAGCTGCCAAAAGAACCAACAGATCTATGTTGGAAGAGTTGTAGCCAGAGTGCTCCTTGGTGGCCAAGATGGCCAAATTTTGTCTCCCATACTTTGGACATATTGTCAGGAGGGAGCAGTCACTGGAGAAGGATATCATGTTTGGTAAGGTGGAGGGAGGGTCAGAGAAAAAGAGGAAGACCCCCAACGAGATGGATTGGCCAAGTGGCAGCATCGATGAACTCAAACGTGGCAACAGTAGTGAGGTTGGCCCAAGATCGGGCAGTGTTTCGTTCTGCTGTGCATAATAAGGTTGCTATGGGTTGGTACTGACTCGATGGTACCTAACAACACCAACAACAGGTGGAAATATTGTTCCAATTTGCAAATGGATATATATATATATAAACATAATAAACTTGTGTTACTGGTTTATTATGTTTTTGTTTTAAAACACCACCACCACAGAAGAAAAGGCCTGGCAATCTTCCATAAGTGATTTCAGCCACGGAAACTCCATCGAGCAGTGCTACTCTGTAATAGTCTGTATGTAATACATGGGGTCACCATGGGAAGATTCAAGACAAGGACAACAACCATGTGATACAGTAGAGACATTCAAATATTCCAATGTGCACTTGTAGCTTGAACAAGTGTGAAAAACAAACAAAAGCAAAAGTCTCTACTTAGATTGCAGTTTGTTATCTCATTAGCCTGAAATAAAAACAAAAATCCTTATACTTTTAAATGAAGTAAAACTTTTTCTTGAAGCTATGTTTACCCTTTTTCAGAGAGCCCTGGTGGCATAGTGGTTACGTATTCGGCTGCTAAACAAAAGGTTGGCTGTTAACCAAGAGGTCAGTGACTAGAACTCACCTGGTTATTAGCTCCCATAAAGACTTTTGTTAGGTCTTGTCCAGTTAGTTCTGATTTATAGTGATCCTATGTTACAAAAACAAAACGCTGCCCCATCCTGGGCCATCTCAGAATCATTGGCTATCTATGTCTGAGCCCACTGTTGTACCCACTGTGTCAATCCATCTCATTGGAGGTCTTCCTCTTTAGCACTGACTCCTCCACTTTACTAAACGTGATCTCCTTCTCCAGTAACTGGTCCCTCCTGATAACGTGTTCAAAGTATGTGGACACGGTCTCTCCATCTTTGCTTCTGAGGCACATTCTGGCTGTACTCCTTCCAACACAGATTTGTTCTTCTGGCAGTCCATGGTATATTCAATATTCTTTGCCTACACTGTAATTTGACGTCCTGGTGTGGCACTGTGGGTTAATGCATTAGACTGCAAAGTCGGTTTGAACTGCAAGGTTGATAGTTCAAGCTCACCAGTCGTTCCTTGGAAACCCTCTAAAGGGTCACTATGGGTCAGAACTGACTCGACGACACTTAACAACAACAACATGCTGATTCAGAGGCATCAATTCTTCAGTCTTCCTTACTCATTGTCCCACTTTTGCATAGATATGAGGTGACTGAAAATACCATGGCTTGGGTCAAGTGCACCTTTAACTTCAAAGTGACATCTTTAGATTTTTAACACTTTAAAGTCTTAAAGTGGTCTTTTGCAGCAGATCTGCACAATGCAATATATTGTTTGTTGCCTGACTCGAGCCATGATATTTCCAATAACCTCATATGCATGTGAAAGCTGGACAGTGAAGAAGGAAGACCGTAGAAGAATTGATACATTTAAGTTATGGTGTTGGAGGGGAATATTGAAAGTGCCACGGACTTCCAAAAGAACGAATAGATCTGTGTTGGAAGACGTGCAGCCAGAGTGCTCCTTGGAGGCCAGGATGGCCAAACTTCATCTCTTATATACTTTAGACATATTGTCAGGAGGGACCAGTCACTGGAGAAGAATATTATGTTTGGTAAGGTGGAGGGTCAGAGAAAAAGGGCAAGACCCCCAGTGAGATGGATGGATAAAGTGGCAGCAGCAATGGGCTTAAGTGTAGCAACAATTGTGAGACTGGCCTAGGACCAGGCAGTGTTTCATTCTGTGTTCATGGGATTGCTATGAGTTGGTACTGACTCAATGGCATCTAACAACAACAAAGCTTCCATAGGCATTAATTGTGGGTACAAGTAAAATGAAACCCTTGAAACTTCAATCTTTTCTCTTTTGATTATGAGGTTCTTTATGGGTCCAGTTGTGGGGATTTTTGTTTTCCTTATGTTGAGATATAACCATACTGAAGGCTGTATTCTATGATTTTCATCAGTAAGTGCTTCAAGTTCTGTCTGTTTTCAGTACACATATGTCATGTATACAACGTAGGTTGTTGATGAGTCTTTCTCCAATTCTGATGCTAAATTCTTCTTCATGTAGTCCAGTTTTCTGGATTATGTGCTCAATATACAGATTGCTTTATTGGAACAACTGCATGTTTGGTCTATGTACAGGTTCACCATGAGCAGAACTAAGAGTACTCGAGTTCCCATGATCCACAATGGTATCCTTAGTTGACTCCATTCCACACAGTTGGATGTCTTTACAAAGTTAAGGAAGCACTGGTATACAGCTCTCTGGTATTCTTTGCTTTCATCCTCAAGATCCATCTGCAATCAGCAATGATAGCCCTAGTTCCACATCCTCTTATGAATCTGGCTTGAATTTCTGATTTATCTTTAACAAGAGTTTACTCGTGCGTGAGATTAATGATACTGTTTGACAATTCCCACCTTGTGTTGGATCACCCTTCTTTTGAATGGACACAAATATGGTTCTCTCCCATATTTGGCCATGTAGCTGTCGTCTAAATTTCTTGGCATAGACAAATAAGTGCCTCCTGTTTGTTGAAATGGATTCCAGCCTAGGAGACCCCATGATTCAAAGCTGACTTGAGGGGCACACAACAACAGACTAAAAACAAGTAAGGGAAGGGACCAAGCCGATCATCGCAATACTCCTAGCACCTAACACAATCATGCAGTACCTGGGTGGTGCTCACTCTTAAGGTACTCAGCTGGTAACAGGAAGGTTGAAAGTTTGACTTCACTCAGACTATCTGAAGATAGTCTTGGTGGTGTACTTTTGACAAATCAGTCACTGAAAACCAAATGGAACACAGTTCTACACCGGCACACATGAGATCACCATGAGGAGACAGAAGCTCAACAGTAACTGGTGTCTTAGCATAGTAGTAGCTGGCACCTAATAGACTTTTTTTTTTTTTTAAGTTTTTATTGTGGATTATGTGGGTTTAATAATAGACTCTTGGTTACCACTTCCTGACAGCTGACTTGACTCTCATTAAATCATGGCCAACATCAGTACTTCATAACCACCTGTCTATCTTTCTAGAGAATTACAACGTTCAAATCAAAAAGCCAGAGCACTGGGCTAGATGGACACAGTGGTTCATCATCTAGAGAGAGTCATCCCATCTTGAGAGCCAAGCTTTTATCTACAAGTAAGGAACTGAGCCCCTGGAACAGCAACTCACCACCCAGTGTCACACATTAACATCTACTGGACTTCAGGTGTGGTGCTGTAGGATCAGCACTGGGTTGCGAACCACAAGGTCAGCAGTTCAAACCCACCAGCTGATCCTCGGAAAAGAACTCTACACAAGGTCACTCTGAGTCGGAATTGACTCGATGGCACTTAACAACAACAACAATAT